GAATCCTTTTTTTATTGCCTGTGTGTGAAGGGGTTGTAATCACACATTAATATGATCCACTTGTCGAGTTTTGCTATTATTTCTGAAGGCCAGTATTCCTATTTCTATGTGAAGTCTCCGGGTCGGATTTTCTGCGAAATCCATCGGATGTGACGTGCACGCGCGCTCCCGAGCCTCTCTCCTTTATATATACAGTCCATGCGACGGCACTGCAGCGAACGACATGGAGTCTGATAACACCAAACACTCCTGCCTCCAGCACAACACACACTCCAACACAAACTCCACATAAATATAAAAAAACAAAACAAAAATGTTTCTGCTGAAGCTCGTCAGGCCAAACGTGAATCGGATCGACTCAGGGCGAAAACACGGATCAACATCGGCAGAGCGTTTGAATTATGGAGAGACCTCCGCTATTTTTATTGTGATAAATTACAAGTTTTCAGATATGCTGAAATAAATAATTCTAAACTGTAATGAAACAAGGTAAACTACAACATACATGAGACATGAAATGAATACAAAAGACTGTTCCAGGAGAACAAAAAGTGGATGCTTTAGGATTTAACTTTTATTTTATGTACTAGATCTACTGTCTAACGTCACTCATCCCACTATCATATAGTTGTTCAGTACAGTAATGTCACTTCCTACGATCTTACTGTTACACTGAAATTGTTCAGTCTAGTTCACTAGCCGTTTTCGTTATCATATTATACATTCATCTATGTTGACATTGCTGATTGTGAAAGATACACGAATAGTTCAACATGACATCATGACTTTGCGTAAACATACACGCCACTTTCAAGTCAAGTGGCGTGTTATCTATACGCATTTTGAGCTATCCGTGTGTATGTCCACGCCGAAACGAACCATCATCTTTTGCGTGTATGTCTACGCCGTTAAACGTCCGAGTGATTCTGCGTGTATGTGTACGCCGTTAAATGTCCGAGCGAAACAAGGCAAAATTCATATCTACATCTGTGGAGCAATATTTTTTTTCCTAGGATGGTAGGGGAAGACTCATAAATAGTATTAACCCCAGTTGGGGTAGGTCATATATATACAGTAATGTAACGTTAAGTCAACGGCGTTGATAAACACGCTGAAAAGCGATTATGCGTGTTGATAGCACGCCAAAAATGGAAATACGAATTGGCGTGTCATACATACGCCATTTCATGAGATCAGTCTGAATAGTTAGTGAAATGCCTTATGCTAGATAACACCACAAATGTAACGTTATCATGGTACGAGCATGGAGCACTAGTTCAACGTCAAGCTGATAAAAGTAGCCTATTATTGTAACGTTGCAGTGGGAGTTTACATGAGTTTCCAGCATGTTGTGTGATGCTTTCTCCAGTGTGTTGAAAGTCTCAGTGTGGCCGCGTGTATGCATGAGCGCTCTTGTGTTCGAGCACGAGCGCTCTTGTAAAAATTGGTTGCAATCTGAAACATCACAGATAGAGGCCGCTAAAAAATACATATAGCACCTTTAAGAAATTTTTGTTATTAATACGAGATTCAACTAGACAAGATTTTAAAGGCGGAGGTGAAATGACTTGCACAGCCAATTTGATTTTACATAATAATTGCACCTAAGTTTAGTTGCTGCCTTTATTTTTTATTGTCTACCGTGTGCAGATGTTACCGTACAGTACATTCTGCTTTGGCAGGAAAGCGTTGTGGAAATTTTGGTTCACGTACCAACCCCGAAGTGATAAAATAAAATTCTGTATCAAAATGTATAGGCAAGACAAGTAGTTTGTTCAGGCATGGTTTTGTAGGGAATTACAAACCTGCACACATATATTCAAACGCACATACCGGTAACTATAGAATCAGTTCTTAATGCGCATGTGAACGCCATCAGCGTTTATCACAGGTTCAGTTTAAAGTCTGTTTCGAGAGAACGGTATCGCTAATTTAATAACAAATGATCATTTCGACGGAAGTGAATCAAGAACCGCTATAAAGCCAAACCAATCTCTGTTACCTTAAATTTTATGTTTATCTCTGTAAAGCTGCTTTGAAACAATCTCCATTGTTAAAAGCGCTATATAAATGAAGATGACTTGAAAGAGTATTTTTGTCATTTTTACACATGAAGTTTAAATTAACAGAATGCATGAAATATTGGTACTTTCAAGAATCAGTTTCAACCCAAGCATATCTAAACTAAGCAGAATGGAGCAGAAACAGAGGGAGCTGTAGTGACCCCTAATGGCCAAAGAGTGCAACACATTACTCACTCTCTCCTAAACACTCGGGTCTGTCCAGACACACACTCTGGCAGTCTTTGCACTTGACCACTTGTCTACTTACATGACGTGTTTGCTGTATTTGGCCCAAGTGTTTAAGCAGGCATGAAGACTGCAAGTGTGTGTAGAACGTTTGATTACCCGATGCAATATATCAAATCAAAATAAAGCTCTGAAAACACATGCATTTGTCGTGTTGCAAAAAATGCATGTGTTTTCAGAGCTTTATTTTGATTTCTTTGCATTTTAAAATAGACTTGTACGTGTCTGTTCAGTAGCCCCTATGCTACAGAAGACACCAATTCAAAACTGCGGTGCTTCTAATTTAGTTATTAAAAGCAGTGGCAAATGTTGTACAAAATACATTTGCACAAATAAAATGTGCAACACTTTATATTTTACTACCAGATTATATGTTATATCTAATTAATTTAACTTACAGTGGAATGTTTTCCTCGACATCATGCGATTTCGGGACACACGAGTTCCAGAACATGATGCATGATGGGATACGCTATTCTATATAGTGTGTGTTTAGTGTACGTTTAGTGCTTTGTCATTTTTAAGACATGGGAACAGACTTCAGCACTTCCTGTTCAAGTGGCCGAGACTGCAAGTGTGGGTATTTGGACAGGCCCCTAGTTAAAGGGACAGTTCACCCAAAAATGAATATTACCCCATTATTTACTCACCCTCAAGCCTTCCTAGGTGCGTATGGCTATGTTCTTTCAGACGAATTCAATTATTAAATTGAGTTATATTAAAAAATGTCCTGGCTTTTCCAAGCTTTATAATGGCAGTGAATGGATGTTTCTGTTTTGAAGTCCATCAAAGTGCATCCATTCGTGATAAAAGTGCTCCACACGGCTCTGGCGGGTTAATAAAGGCCTTCTGAAGCGATGAGTTTGTGTAAGAAAAATATCCATATTTAAAACTTTATCAACTAAAATAACTATCTTCCGGCGGACGGCCGTACGCATCGATTTACGGCGAAAGAATAACACATGACGATGTGTGACGTAGATGTAGGAGTAGCGTAAGCGGTTCAAACACACAGCGCTGGGCAGCAAACTCAAGCTCCTCACACATTTCTCTGTAAAAATCTCCTTTTAGACTCTAATTCGTGACCAAGGGGGTAATCCATCCGCCGGAAACTGAAGCTTCCCTTGGGAGCCGCCATCGGCTAGCAGACCATCTCCTGCTGTTAGCACTCCATTGACTCCCATTCATTTTGGCGTCACTTTGACAGCGAATAACTTTACATCTGAGGCGTTTAAAGACTCCATTTGTCCATTATTTATTTCTGAAGAAACACGACAATGTATAAAAGGCTCCATTACCTTGTATCTTACGTTATGGCCCCATAGAAGCAGTTTTTGTAAAAATAGGCTAACGATTGCGTCATATATGACAAATCGACTCTCCGTCGTACAGTAGAGAAATTACCGTATAGACAGGAGGAGAAGCTCGCAGTCACTCGGGGGACGTGGAGGTATAAAGTCCGATAAAGTCGAGGGAGAAGCCCATAGAGAGTCATAAAGCTGATTCTGCTGCTGCTCATGGACAGCTAATACTCACTCTCTCCGTCTCTGTGAGATTCGGAAGGGAATTATTCAGATTTCACTCGGCACAGCTACTAGAAGACTTACAGGTGGCTCATGTGACAGGCTCAGTTTGAGCCTGCGCAGTACGCCTGGCGATCAGCTTTTAACGGGCTTCAATTTTCTCCGTTGAAATCAATGGGGTCGCTGTGTCCATTTCTTTTACTGTCTATGTTCGTGACCGGTGTTTTGTTTTGCTCCTTCCTCTGCGCTTCCGTGTTCGTCATTACGTCATGCGTCGGGTCAAGTGTTTCACTTTCGCCGTAAACCACTGCGTACGAAGCTAGTTATTTTAGATGATGAAGTTTTAAATATGATAAAGTTTTAACTATGTTAAATATGATAAAGTTTAAACACAAATGCTTCGCTTCAGAAGGCCTTTATTAACCCCCCAGAGCCGTGTGGATTTAGTTTTATCATGGATAAATGCGCTTTGATGGTCTTCAAAAACATAAACGGCCATTCACTGCCATTATAAAGCTTGGAAGAGCCAGGATATTTTTTTTATATATCTCAATTTAATAATTTAATTCGTCTGAAAGAAGAGTCATATGCACCTAGGAAGGTTTGAGGGTGAGTAAATCATGGGGTAATTTTCATTTTTGGGTGAACTGTCCCTTTAAAGGTGAGGGTTTGGCTAGTTAGCATGACGCTGCTGGTAGATGCTGTAACTACACCATTCTGGGGCAAAATGCATCGTTTCCACTGAATACCATTCAAAGTAGCTCTGCATCCTGAATATAAAGCTTTCGGTAACGCTTCCTTTTACAGTACAGTACTTACGTGTACTTACCTAGAAAGTACTGGCTTATATAAGGTAAGTACATGGGTTAGGGGTAGGTTCAGGGTTAGTACCTAGTTATTACCCAGTAATTGTAATTACTATAATAATTACATAGTATGTACATGGGTAACAGGACTGTAAAAGGAAGCGTTACCAAATTTTCTTATATTACTTACTAATTTATTTAAACCATTGCTCTGTAAGATTATATGTGGTGTCAACTATATCTAGAGATGTAGTTCTAAATGCTCATTTACTCTACAAGCAGGTCAAATGTGTATTCGGGTGCAACAGGCTCCAGGAGATGATGACGTGTGAACACGAGTGTCGTCTCTGCAGTGTCTTCACCTGTGAGATGGCGTAGTTCTTGTTCTCCCAGATCTTCCTGGCCTCGGAGCGCTCTCTCTTGTTCAGGACGGACGGGTCAGGCGTCTCTTGACCCTCGCGGGCCGTTCTCAGTTTGGTGACCAAACCCCACAGACGGGCCTGCCATCTCAACACCCCTGGGATGGCATCAGCTACACACACACACACACACACACACACACACACACACAGTAAAGCATGATGTTAAAGCAGAACAGCATGCTGGGATGGAGGTGCTGTCCGTGTTCTGGATGGATGGATTAGGGATATGGCCGTTCACACAGGATGCATTTACTCCTCTCAAGTCTCTCAAATGTTATAAAATCTATAAAATCAAAATTAATTTTAAAAAGTTTTAAAAACAGTGGCTCTCAAACACCTGTGAGGGGGACACAAAATTCAATATCATTCAATATAGCATAATAAAATATATAGAAATGATTTAAAACAAGCATTAAAATCAAGATGACATGATATTTCTTATTTTAATTCATTTTTAATTCGAACATCGGTCTTTTTCTGTTGAGAATTTTTTTAAAGTGTGATTTCTAGACCTGGAAATGTCATGGAAATAAAAAAAATATGTGTATATTTGAAAATTATAAGGAATTATAAAAAAGTTATAGATTTTTGGATTCATGCCAAGCTTTAAAATATTTTATTGGGCCAATAATATTAATAATAATAATAACAACAACAACATTTAATCAGTTAAAAATATAATATAATTAAAAATATGTAGTCATGGAAATTAATGAAATCCTAAAAAAGCAACAGGAATTTCAATAATGAGTACCGCTATACATTTTTATGGTTATGTCAAAATATTTGACCAGTTAGAAATGGCTATTTCTGAGTCAACAAGTTAAATAATTGAATGAAATAATAATAATGATAAATCCATAATCACAAAGGACTGAAAAAGCCGTTCACTGTGAGTGTGAACACTGAAGAACATTCAATTTCTTAAAACTTCTGGAATTAGGGAAATTACCATTATATTATCCATAAATAAATAAAAACCATTGTAATGATATGAGCAGCAGTGTGTGCACCCACTCTTGACGTCCCACAGGATGTCCTGCTCGGGCGGCGCGGCGTACAGGAGGTAGAGGCGCGTGGTGTCGAGGCCGTACTGGTGCAGCACCTCCTGCGGGTCCAGCCCGTTGTGTTTAGATTTACTCATCTTCTCCCATGTGACCTGCAGTCGGCTCCCGGTGCCCCTCTGAACGGGCTCTGAACCTACCACAGAGAGAGAGAGTGTGTGTGTGTGTGTGTCAGATCATCTCCACCCGGATCACAGCTGCTGTTAACGTTTGCCATGAGAAACATCTCTGTTTACAGCTGGAAGTAACATCTAAAATGCCTCTCCATTGGATTTTAAGGGAAGGGTCTCTGATTTCATGATTACTGTTCTATTAAATTTTCCTATGATGCTTTTTTACATGTTCAACTTTCTTCAGTGTGTGATGTTGCTGTTTGAGCATGAAAAAGAGTTCTTCTCTATATCAGTGTCAGTGTTTCTGAACTCCTGAAACGCCTCTACTGTAGTCTCGAGTTTCTTCCGGGAACGAACACGTCACAATATTCCTCATTTACATAATTCATTCGGACACACCATAAGTGCACTTGCGCCGCGCGCTTTAGACCATGTGCTTAGATCCTCAAAATAGGGCCCATAATATTACAAAACATTTCTGTTTCAAATAAATGAACTGACTATTCATCAAATAATTCTGAGTTGTTGTTTTTTTTTTATCATGGTTTCCACAAAAAAATAAGCAGCTTCATTGATAATAATCATAAATGTTTCTTGAGCATCAAATCATCATATTAGAGTGATTTCTGAAGGATCATGTGACACTGAAGACTGGAGTAATGATGCTGAAAATACAGCTTTGATCAAAGAAATAAATTACTGTAATTTTAATCAAATAAATGCAGCCTTGGTGAGCAGAAGAGATTTCATAATTTTTTTTTAAAAAAATCCTACAGACCGCAGACTTTTAAGCAGTCGCTCTGAAAGCCCCCGTTTACACCTGTGTGAAGCGCTCGCACCTGTGATGGGACACTGTACACAGGGTCTTTGGTGTGATCTGGCATGTTTGAACCCTCAGGAAGAGACACAGCTGTGTTTACCGTAATAAGCGGTTCTCCTCTACACTGTTTACACACACACGCATTATAAAACCGTCGTCGCTAAGATCGCAGAAATTACAGCCGTTTTTGGGAGCCAATTTAGATGCAAGAGCAAGTCTGTTTACCCTGTTGCCTGGCAACAACAAATTACCATTTTAGATCCAGTATCCACAGAAAGCATCACACGAAGAGAGTGAGAAATGTAGCGTCGCATCCGTGTTACACACTGAAATGGCACAAGCTGTCTGACAGTTTTACACTTCACGCTGATTTGCTTGCTTAATGCAGTTTCTAGGAGTCGGAGTGCACATATTTCTATCAGTCCACTAGTAAACAAAGTTACCTGCTGTTTTTCAGGATGCTTCAAGGTTTGAGTCTTTACCAATAAGGCAATTCCTTCTTTTAACGGAAGAAAGGCTTCCATTCCCATTTCCCATAGTTAGTATATGCGAAACTATATATGATCCGTGCTGTCAAAATGAGCAAATTTTCAAAAATTTGTTTATTTTCACATTCTCTATTACAAAAACCTTCACAATAATGTATGATTTGTTTGAATCAGTCAAAAAAATGAGACAGCAAAGTCCATTTTGAGAAAAATCGAGTTAAAGTTTTCTGAAGGTTCCCAAAAAAACAAATCACCTAGCAACTGTACAGTACCTTAAAATCCCTGGTGATTCCACCAAATCTGGCACACACAAGGTCAAAACCAAATATCTATCAGAAAAATACATATTCAACTGTTTTTCCATGATACCACAATTGTTTGATTCATATTAAAGAAACAGACAGCCTATATATTAAGACCTACTGTACCGCCCGGATCTAATATAATGTTACACATCAGATGTTTTCCCAGTTAACTAAACATTCACTTATGACATAACCGATCATGTTTGAGTGAATACTCGCCAAGACAGATATTTTGAAATACTGTAATTCTGTGTACAGTATGTGTGTATATTCTTTGTGCGCACGCATCTGATCTGTCAGTCAGCGCGAGTAAGAGTTTTACATTAACAAAGGAAAGGGACTCCTCTTAGAAAACTTACAAACAAAGATACTTTTAGATGTTTAATTGCTATTTGGAGCATTGGGATCGCTACACGAGGGCTTAATGCACTCATTTTTGTGAAAACAAGTTTCATTCAGACTCCTTTTGCCAGCACGGGTCACATATATTCTTCTTTATAATCAGATTCATATGCAGTTTCCTCCTAAACAGTTGCAGAATCCAATTAAGAGCCAAAAGAAACTCCAACAGTTTTCCAACAGCAGATTTCAAGAACCCAACACAAACACCAGCATTGATGGCAATACTTCATTTATATCCTCTCTCTCTCTCTCTCTCTCTCTCTCTCTCTCTCTCTCTCTCTCTCTCTCTCTCTCTCTCTCTCTCTCTCTCTCTCTCTCTCTCTCTCTCTTCTCTCTCTCTCTCTCTCTCTCTCAATTCAACTTCAGAAGAATGATGGGATCAGGGTTTCAAATCTGGGCAGAAAAGTGTCTCTTATACTGGTATATTTGGGACAGAAGAGCAGAAAGTGTTCCTCATCCTCTATGTGTGTGTTGTAGATCAGTGTCTACAGATCCTCTGCTCTCTCTCTGTCCATGTCTGTCTATGTCTTCCTCTCTCTATCTAGATCAGGGGTTCTCAAACATTTTGGAGCCAGGGACCCCTTACAGGGGAAAAACATTTCCAAGGACCCCCTCATATTTATAACAGTGACTGAGCCTAAAGTTAATGTGGGAGTGGTTAATGAAATATTTTGACACAAATAGTCTCCACCCAGGGTCATATGCAGGAATTTCTAAATAGCATACTGAGGTCCCAAAAGTGAACTTGCTAGGGGGGTTCGGGGGCATGCCCCCCCGAGGAATTTTAGATTTTCTTGATCTACACGTGCATTTTAAGGTGTTTTTAAGGCCAAAAATTGTACTTTTTTCTTGATATACCCAGAAAGAATGGAAGTGCAATGTGACAACATGTCCCATAGGTGGGGCACATTGTAACATGACCATATGACAGATTAAAATGTTATCTGATCTAATCAAACAAATATACAAGACAAACAAAAATATTTTCTCAATAAAATACAATTATTAACTTTTTCATATAAAATAATGGCATTTTAAAACAATTAAAAATAAACTAATTTTTGAGTTTGACAACGAACACACAGCTATACAACATAGTTCAAAACATATTCATTGTAACGCAGTGTGACAACATGACCCACTTGCACAACTGGGATTTACGTTGTGCCCCGCTATCCCCTATATTTCCTTTCCCGGTTGATACTTTGCAAACTGATTGTTTCTGTCGTTTGTTTAAAACTTCTATCTAAAACAGCTGTTTAGTTTAGCGATTTACATCTCATCTCGCACTTTATGACCGAATAACTGAAGCGTCATGCGGAAATTCGCGCTCGGCTTGCAGCTTCTGTGAACATAAACCCGCCTACTTTGATTTAATCTCCGACTCAAACATTGACATTGACGAGCGCTGTTAGTCTGCTGAAACCGCTCAGATGAGAAGGTCAGTTATCATCGCAATGTTTAATATCCTTGCAGCACCAAAGTAGAGTTAATATTAGGCAATTATTTCACAACTTTCATTATACACATAGAAAAATTACAGAGGCCCGGACCTCAGGGACCTCAATTGTGGGTATACGACCCTGTCCCTATGCACAAATTTATAATTTACTGTATTCTCCAGAAAATAAGTTGGACCTGAGTGTGTAATACTTTGTTGCGTTCTTGAGGCGTAGTAGGCCTACTTCCCCTCACTCCACAGCAAATCCTTAAATTAATGGTATTCAGAACAAAACAAGAATGAAAAATAATACTATTAATAGATAATAATACAAATAATAATAGTATACAGACAACATTTATTTAAAACATCAAGTCTAAACGAATTAAGTTGAATCGAAACTGAAACTGCAGACGTTGGGCTCGTGCATCTCTCATTCGGTCCAAAGTTTCCATATTTGCGATGTAGCCTAACATTTGGAAGCTTAACTATTTATGTAAAGAAAGCTTCATGCTTCAGTCCCAATATAGGCCTACACGTATCAGCATCTTCACATTTGGAGAAATGAGATTGGAACAACAGCAAGTCGACAGTATATGATTGACCGTCTCTGCCTTCATAGTGTACAACAGACAAATTAAATTAAGCAGAACTTTTTATAAGTTCGGTGAGTATTTTATTTTGATAATGAACAGGTTTTGATGTCAAATTAGCAGTGCTAGAACTGACATATTGTGCGCGCACATGAGACGCCGGCGCGAACACTTGGATTTTTCCTCAGCAGTGGTGTGGTCATACAGATAAGAGTACATCATTCAAAACGGCAAAGTGTCTATTTTTTATTTGTGTATATTGTCATTTTATTAAAAATGACTACAAAATGTCATGCCTTTTAAAAATAAAGAACACAACAGGATGCGCGTTCTGCCGTCTCTGTCTCCTTTCTGGCGCACGTGCCCAAAAATCGACCAAAATACAGCGAATACTTGACGCACAGACATAAGAAATATAGATAGAATATCTATCTATATAAACCTTTAAGAGCCTACTTTTTTATTATTTGACATTAAATGCATTATATAAGTCACTTTGGAATAAATAGCAAGTTTTTAGATGCTAAAGAAAAGATGACTTATAGTCGGGAAAAACGGTAGGCTGTTATAAATTATTTCGCGGACCCCCTGGCTATAGTTCACGGACCACCAGGGGTCCGCGGACCCCACTTTGAGAACCACTGATCTAGATCATGGTCACTTAATCTGTATTTGGAGAGGATTTGTCTTTCTTTAAAATGTTTGATAAATAGATAACTGGCCAATTTAGTGGTTCTATTGAGGGTCGAGTAACATTGGAGTTTATTCTGGAGGTCAAAACTTGCTTTTAGTGATTGATCATGAGTGTCTTTTAGATGTGTGTGTGTTTCTTTAACAGTAGTTGTGGGGCTGCAGCTGTGGTCAGTGGGGAGTGTAGTCTGATGGACGAGTTGAAGAGCGAGTGTGTGTAGAGGATGAGGTTCTGCTGAGCTTTCATTGGCGAGGAGGGCTTTATATTGGACTGACTCTGGATCAGTCTGGATCTCTCACACACACACACACCTGTGAAATCAATGTCTTCTTTCTGCAGGTACTGGCCGGTCTCTGCCACGCTGAACGTCTGGCCCTTTATGAGACCCTGAACCAGCAGTTTTCTGAAGGGCTCCCTGAAAGAAGGAAGAGAATGGACATTCATTCATGGACACCCAATCTGACAGATGAACTAAACAATCACAGAGCTTGAGATTCTTGAGGAAAACATTCCAGGATGTTTCTCCATCTATGAATGGTGAATGATGATCAAACGTAGACCAAAATCCATGTTTGTGCAGCTTCAGAGGGCTTCATACGAGCCCAGCCGACCGAAAAGGGTCTTTAGTGGAGTCGAAGCACCTTAAATATGGATTTTGGACAGTCAAAAATGATCTACGTTGATCATTCGTAAAGATGGAGAAAAATCCGGGAATGTTTTCCTCAAAAATCTTACACGACATTTTCATTTTCGGGTAAAGCATTTCTTTACTCTGATCCTCAAGTCAAACCTGTATTCTGTTATTTGTAATTATTTAATCTGTCAAAGCATCAAAAAGGAAAGAAAACACCATAGAAGTATCATATTTAGAAACTATTCCATACAACATGTGAACTAGTCATCACAGAAACCTTCATTCAGAAGGGGTTAAAAAAAAAAAAAAAAAAAAAAAAAAAAATCAATAAAACTTGGACTACTTGAATGAGTTTTTATTGAAATTTTTAAAGCTTTTTTTTTTTTTTTTAGCTTAAAAGCTGGTGGTCACTATATGAACTGTCTACTTTTCATGTTCCACAAGAAAAAAATAACAGCTTACAAGATTATTCATTTATTGGTCAGTGAATGATCACAGAATTATCCTTTTTAGATGATATTTGATAACACTATAATACGATCTCATTTGTTGACATTAGTCAACTGCAATAGTTAAGATGAACTAAGAATGAACAATACTACAGCATTTATTAATATTAGATAGGTGGTCAATTTCTACATTTAATAATACGTTCTTAAGATCAAAAGTATCTGTTATCATTATTTAATGCCGTGTGAACTAACATGAACATTTTTATTAACTAACATTAAACATTGCTGTTTAATGTATTGCTCATTGTTAGTTTATGTTAGTTAATGCATTAATTCATGTTAATAAAGGAGACCTCGTTGTAAAATGTTTCCAACTATTCCCTTTAATAAATGTTCCTTTTTAATAAGGGTTAATAAACATTAACATTGTATTCTTACTATCATAGTATAGAAAAAAGATTTGCTTTCCTTAAAATCTAGTAATTTCTTCACCAAGAAACCACATCTCATTTAAATGTCATAACTAAGGGCAATTATGCCAAAGTAACTTTTCATAATTAAATGAAGGGTTTCAATTTACAATGTTTCATTAACTGCATTAACTAACAATGAAAAAAACTACTGAAGAATTTACAAATATTCATTTATTTTAACATTTCCTAATACATTATTTAAATAAACATCTGCTAATATTATCTAAATGGCCTGAGATGACATGAACTAACAATGAAAAGTTGTATTTATAGATTAATAAATACTGTAACAAATGTATTGCTCATTGCTAGTTAGTTTATTAATGCATTCACTAATGTTAACTAATAGGACCTTATTGTAAAGTGTTACCAAATCAAGTCACAATGCCTAAAATCAGTGGTCAAGTGAAATTTTTTAATGTTATTTGTTACATAATGTTTTTAAGTCAGTTACAGATTGGTCTAATTTGTATCCCAAAAGTATGTCTGATTTGACCTTGGCTAACTGCTAGTTCTCTGCGTGAAACAGAAGTTGTGATCGTCTTTTCTTCCCTACTGTGACGAATATCTGAGTCAAACGCTTCAAGAACAAATGTAGTACTTGGTTTTGTCCATGAGGAATTGATTTGGATGGTTGTGGTTTGCTATTGGCGGATCTCATGTGAGTGTAAAAACATCATTATATGTCATATTATGAAAGTTAAATTGAAAGTGTCTACCGTGCATTCATGATGTATTTGTAACAGAAGTGGCCAAAAATGATGCCTGGAGGTGATGTTTGTTTTTAATGAGCCTACAAGTTCGATTAAAGGAACATATTTCATTCAATATTTTAAATATGAGGGAAGAACAAAACACTAAACTTGGTTAAGGTATTTATCTGACTCAATTATTTGGCAAAAAAAAAAAAAAAAAGCCAAACTACAGCAACAGGTTTGATTTTACTGTGCAAAAAATGCATAGAAAAAAAAAAGGTAAAAACCTGACAGGAAAAATAATACATCATTGACTAATTAATATTTCATTGGTTCTCTTTTGTTTTTTGCATTTGTTCATTATTTCTTTGTATGACAGCCTGGCCAAAAGTTATCTCCACACAATTTAATTGCGTTATCATCACATCGCCGCTCTTCCATCGGGTCTAATGGTGTCGGAGAGTCGACATTCGTTTGCTCAGTCTGTCCGTCTACAGTTAAGATGGCCTCATGAATGCAAGATCAATATCGAATGAATCTTTTATTTTAAACGACTTTATATGTCACTCCTTAAGGCCCTTGCACACTGAGTCCGAAATTCGCGTCCGAAATCTTCGCACGTTAAAAAATAAATAGCTCTTGTAAAAAAAATAAGCCTCTTGTGGAGATTGCTCCCCGACTGTGCTTTTCTCCACGGCCTCTGGACAGGGAGTGGAACGGTTTAAAAACTGTTTTAAATGCACGACTGTGTCTATGGACACCTTTTATAGTTCTGAAGTCCAGTTATTGAAGGTTGATTTAAAGTCCCTGTGCTACAGACCCACTAAAAGGATTTTATTCATACATTTTCTGATTTTCTCTCTAATCTGGTGACTCAGGCTGAAAGACTATTGATCCGTGGGCACTTTAAAGGAATAGCTCACTTAAAAATGTGAATTTCTTTGTTTATCTAAATGTTGTTTTATCTAACAGTTGATGTACCCCATTGACTTCCATAGTAGGAAAAAAATACTATACTATAATAATACTAAGTCAATGGTGTCCATCAACTGTTTGGTTACAGACATATTTTTTATTTTTTTATGTCTTCGTTTGTGTTCAGCAGAAGAAAGATATTCATACAGGTTTGAAACAACTTTGGGTGAGTAAATGACCAAATTTTCATTTTTAACCCTCTGGGGTTGTTCGGCCCAAATGGACCCGAAGCATTTAAAATTTTTTTTTTTTTTAAATCATAGCTTTATCGGAATGGTCCAAAATTTGGTGACTTTGTTGGTACTTGGTATATGAACACCCAAAAAAATTGGGGACAGGATTTGAATAGTCTAAGTGGTTGTAAAAAAAATAGTCACACTCAGGACCTTCGGGACCCGCATAGGAAATGAATGGGAAATTGGCAAAAATGTGAAAATAAAGAGTTTTTTTGTGCGTACAATCTACAAATCAGCCACGATCCAGAAAAAGCACACAACAGTGAAGGGGTGAATCTATAAAACATCAAGAGTGCAAAACAGACACATCCACACACACACACACACACACACACAAACACACTTTCATACACATACACACTAATAAATTCAGATTACATATGGGTTTTGAATTTTTAAAATGCTCAGTGTGTCCACCAGATGGCATCCATCTCATTTAAAAAATTGCTTTCATGAGGCCTAGGCTTGACTCTAAAATGAAATGCAGCTTTATAAAAAAAATTAAATTAAAAAAATTCTATTATATTCAATGGGGAAAAAATGCGTCATAATTATTGCATTAATATTAATTATAAATCATTTTTATTTTTGAAATTATCTCAAAACACCAAAAAAGAAAAGAAAAAATATTATAAAAAACAAGTAAAAAAAAAATGTATGATTTTTTTTAAAAAATATGAATCCTGCCCTTTGGGTCCCGAACACCCCAAGTGTGACTGTTAAACGAACAACCCCAGAGGGTTAAGTGAAGTATTTCTTTAACTTTCATCTTTGCTGCCCTTCGAAGCCGTTGGTCAAAGAATATGTTCTCTGAACATTGTACAATCTGTATGTGGTCCAACTCACAATCTGGGTCACACACTGGTTTTTCGATCTCAAATCTGGAGGTTATTAATGCATGCGTGTCTGACCATTATCCAGTTTTGTTTGAATCGGAGTGCTTTTCCCCGTCATCTACTTGCTCTCCGCCTTCATCTCTCTCTCTCTCTCTCTCTCTCTCTCTCTCTCTCTCTCTCTCTCTCTCTCTCTCTCTCTCTCTCTCTCTCTCTCTCTCTCTCTCTCTCTCTCTCTCTCTCTCTCTCTCTCTCTCTCTCTCTCTCTCTCTCTCTCTCTCTCTCTCTCTCTCTCTCTCTCTCTCTCTCAAACTGCAAATTTGTTGAATGCTTAGTTGAGGAATTTTACAAAGCATCCTCTATATCTCTGGACGCTGTTGCTGAGCTTAAGCCTAAAAAGATGAAGGTCGCTGGCCAGCCGTGGTTAAATGATGTCGCCCGTGCTCGAAAAGCAGAGCGAAATTGGAAAAAAAAGATCAGATTCGGGTCTCATTTGACATTTTAAAATCGAGCCTGTCCAACTATCAAACGGCAGTAAGGAAAGCAGAATCTAATTTCTTTTCTCAATTAATTACTGGCAACGCGAAGAGACCAGACGTCCTGTTAGATACGACTGATTCTCTTCTAAACCCGACTATGAATATTTTATCTGAGGCCTCTTTAGACCTTTGTGGAGATTTTTTAAAAACATTTCACTCAAAAAATCAGTGATATTGGAAGCTCCATTGTGTCCTCTAAATCATGTCCTGTGCGACTGCCTTCCCCTATGAGTTGTCGGTCTAACATTCTTCAATTCAGTTAGCTGATATAATATCTACTATGAAGTGTTCTGGTTCTAAGTTAGATATATTATTCCGGCTCGTTAACAGCTAAAGTAAACAACTCTTTAGCCAAAGGTGTTGTTCCAGCTTGTTTTAAACATGCAACCTCCATTGAAAAGACCTCAACTTGATCCGGAAATGTGCAGTAACTATCGACCAATCTCTAAACTTCTTTTGGAGAAAGTAGTATTTTCAGTTTCAGTCTTATTTGGATTCTTTTAATATTTTGAACATGTTTCAATCTGGTTAGATCATTACATAGAACTGATTCAGATCAGTTGAGGGTTACACATGACATGTTTCTTGCTCTGGATTCAGGCTCTTGTGTTGGGCTGGTTTTGTTGGACCTGAGTGCTGCATTTGATACCATAACACTCATCTTGAACAGCTAGAATGTATGGTAGGTGTCAAAAGCACTGTATTACAATGGTTTGCTTCTTAAATTAAGACATTTTCTGTAAATTTAGGAAATTGTGTGGTGTGCCCCAGGGATCCATTTTGGGACCTTTGAGGTTTTCCCTTTATATGCTTCACTTGGCCCACATTTTTCAGAAATACAGCATTATATGAAACTGTTATGCAGACGATTCTCAGTTTTACCTTTCAGTAAGGCTTGACACCACTGTTTCATTCGATGTGTAATTGAAATGCGTAAATGATATAAAGAGGTGGATGAGGATGACAAATCATTTTCTGCAGCTAATTGAGGATAAAACAGAGGTTTTAATACTAGTTTGTGCTGTAAACTCCTCCCCCGCTCTGGAAGCCCAGTTAGGTCCTGTTTTCAACCAGTGTACGCAAACAAACCAAAAACCTTGGAGTGATCTTTGACTCTTGACTATTTTTTGACAAATAAATTAGTGCTGTTATTAGAGGAAGTGTTTTCCATTTAAGATCTATTGCAAAGTTGAAGAATCTTCGGTAACACTTAACTTGAAGGGGTGTGCATAAGACACCTTCATAATCATGACATGACACATGTCATGAATATGAAGGAGGTTTTATGCATGTTTATGACAACTGTCATTAAGTGTCATTCGCTCAATTATGACAGTTTTAATGCAAATATGACATTTTTTGAGATGTCTTTATGACAACTTGACATTACTAAGACAACACAACCTGTCATAAACATGACAGCAGATTAATCGTCAAACTTAAGAAACCACTTATCTTTATGGGTTAACATTACATTAAACTGTGGTTGGTTTTGACATTGGCTGTCATGAGGCCATTATAACATTTTAATGACAAATTCAATTTGTTCCACTGTAGTTGAGGTCAAGAAAAATATTCATGACACGGTTATAACGGCCTTATGACAGCCAATGTCAAAACCAACCACAGTTTAATGTAATGTGAACCCATAAAGCTAAGTGCTTTCTCACGTTTGATAATTAATCTGCTATGTCATGATTATGACATATTTATGACAATTTATGATGTGTTGGTTTATGTCAAGGTGTCATAACAAAGACATCTCAAACAATGTCATATTTGCATTAAAAATGTCATAATTGAGCGAATGACACTTAATGACAGTTGTCATAAACATGCATAAACCCTCCTTCATATTCATGTGTCATGTCATGATTATGAAGGTGTCATGTCAGTCTTATGCACACCCCTTCAAGTAAAGTGTTAAGTTGTGATTCATGCACTTGTAACATCACGATTAGTTTATTGGGTAACACTAAGGTTCACAAAACACTTTACAATAAGGTTTATTAGTTAACATTAGTTGATGTATTTACTAACATGAACTAACAATGAGCAATACATGTGTTACAGTATCTAATAATCTTTGTTAATGTTAGTTAATAAAAATACAGCTGTTCATTGTTTGTTCATGTTAGTTCACAGTGCATTAACTAATGTTAACACATACAACCTTTGATTTTAAAAACGCATTAATAAATGTTGAAATTAATATTAACTAAGATTAATAAATGCTGAAAAAGGATTGTTCATTCTTAGTTCATGTTAACTAAGGTAGTTAGCTAATGAACCTTAGTGTAAAGTGTTACCGATTATCGTAACTCTCTTTATTCTGGTCTCCCTCAATCTTCATTATCACGATTGCAAGTTGTTCAAAATGCGGCCGTGAGACTTTTGACTGGCTCTTAAAAGAGGGACCAATGGCTTCCCTGTTTAAATCCTTATGTTTGTATATAAGGCGTTGTCTGGCCGTGCAACAATGTATATTAGTGATCTTCTTGTGCAATACTGTCCTGTTAGGGCACTTAAATCATCTTATCACTTGCTCTTAACTGTGAAACGGTGTAGCTACAAATCAAAGTGTGCTTTTAAATCCACTCTTAAATCAAATTTTTATTCTTTGGCTTTTGAAAACCTGTAATTGTTGTTTTTATTGTGTAGACCTGCTTAGTACTTTGGATCAATCTATATCGTGTTTAAATGTGCTCTATAAATAAATGTTATCACAAATAAAACAATCGACTCCAAGCACAACTACACAATATGCTTACAAAATTTTTAACATTCATATTTGAATAAAGGGTGAAGATGTCAATATTCCAAGACTGGCCATGACTGTGTGTGTGTGTGTTGCACCTGTGTGAAACCATGCCCTGGTCTCTGCAGAAGTGGCTGAGGAAGCGTGCGTAGTACAGGTGCATGACGGCGTGCTCCTTCCCTCCGATGTACACATCCACAGGCATCCAGTGATCCGCTCGGGAACGCTCGAAAGGCCTGCGAGACGAGAGGAACACCTCAACACTGAGCGGCCACTAGGAGTCACTGACACACAGACACACACACACCAGCCGGAGCGAACGCTCACTGAAACACTGCTTTACACAGACATCACATTCACGACACTCCAATAACACATTCAACAGGAGAGAATGCGAGTTAAAACACAACAATAAGCACACTTAAATAAACTGTGATAAACAAACACGTCACACTGTATTAGCAGCTCTGAACTAACCGTACATTTAACACAACAGATACACACACAGTACAGGACGATAAAGGGCTCTGGAAGGAATTCACATGCATTTACTTTCATTCGAAATGAGTTACAGTGACTGTGACAATGCAAGTTGTATTACTAACAGAAGGACTAATAAACAACAGTGATTCCACTGACTAAAAAACAGCTTTTACAGGTTATCTGAAAGAAAATCACATAATTAAATAGGCCACTCTTAAACATGAAAATATTTTAATTAGGGATGTCAATTGGCTTATGTATATTTAATCATGATTAATCCAAAAAAATGTCATAGGTAAACGCATTCGGTCCTAAATAAAGGAAAGAACAGTGAATAAAAGGCTATTGTTTCATTTATAAATTGTGTAGATTACACTCAATAGAGAAAAAAAGTCTAAAAGTGCATCAAAAAACACTGGAAATGCAAATCTCTGTAATACACTAATTAAATATCATACAGATATAATAATTTTAAAAAATACATGTAATTGATATCATTAATTATTACAGAAGTGCATACTGGGTTTAGATTTTTGTAATTATATTTAATATGATGAATTATACATTTTTTAGTAAAATAATTAGTGTAGAAACCGTGTCGCATTCGTGAGTCAAAAGACTGAAGCCTTTATGCGTCTAAATGTAATGCGATAAAACACTTTTCACAATTAGTTCATCTTGATGGCTGTAATATAATAAGAACTTAAGTTTACAAAAAGTGTTCCACATATAATACTTATTTCATATGCAAAGCTGTTACCCAATCAAAACAGTGGGCTTTAAAAAAAATAGTGGTAATATTCACATTAGTTAACATGAACTAACAATGAACAAAACTTGTACAGCATTAGTTGACTAACATGTACAAAGGTTAATAAATGCTGTAAAAAAAAAATTGCTGTTCATTGTTAGTTCCCGTTAGTTAATGTATTAATAATCTTAAAGAGGAGATGTGTGTGATGTTGCTGTTTGAGCATGAGGAAGCTCTGCAAACACACACAGTTCTTCTCTATATCAGTGTCAGTGTTTCTGAACTCCTGAAACGCCTCTACTGTAGTCTCGAGTTTCTTCCGGGAACGAACACGTCACAATATTCCTCATTTAAATAATTAATACGCAGAATAAAGGGGCGGGGCCTGGTTGAGTTAGTTAGTAGTGTGTTAAACTGGCAGTTATGGAAAGGGGCGGGACATTTCCCAAACACACTCGAAGCGCTCGACCAATCACAACACACTGATCCAGCCGACCAATCAGAGCACAGTGTGCTTTCAGAAGGCGGGGCTTCATAGAGAGGACATTAAACAATGAATATACAAACAAGGAAATAATGTGTTTTGAACATTCAAGCATGAAAACACATTCTAGTAAAGCCCAAAAACAACATCAAGACTTGGTAAAATGGCAAAAAAAAAAACTTTATTTTCATTTATCAGAAGTCTATGAGGTAACACTTTGCAATAAGGTTTATTAGTTAACATTAGTTAATGCATTAACGAACATGAACTAACAATGAGCAATACATTTGTTACAGTATTTATTAATCTGTGTTAATGTTAGTTACTAAAAATACAGCTGTTCATTGTTTGTTCATGTTAACAAATACAACATTTGATTTTAATAACACACTAGTAAATGTTAAAATTAAAAATAACTAACATTAATAAATGCTGAAGAAATATTGTTCATGTTAACTAAGGTAGTTAACTAATAATGAACTGTAAAGTGCTACCGTTTATGATGCACTAATCCTACCTATGAAGTCTTCAGAACAGAGTGTGTGTGTGTGCTGGTGCCGTTTCATTATGTGTTTATGAAGATGCATTTTAAAATCCTCGTCGTTGACCTGAACTAGCAGAGACAGATGGTCTTCCATTCTGAGTTTTGCTGTTTCAGCGTCTCTCTGCACAAACACCTGGCGGGACACAGAGCATCTGATGCGGTGCTTACCTCAGCGTGTTGTGAGGGTCTGTGTATCTGAAATAGTACCAGGAAGAATCCACAAAGGTGTCCATGGTGTCGGTTTCTCTCTCCGCCGGCCCTTTACACCTGACATCAGCAGAAGGAATATTATTAGAAGTGCTGGGCTAGAAACAGTTCGTTCTCAAGAAACAATACCATTTGTTCCTCCATGACCTGTGTAATTAACACAATCCTGAACTTGGACATAGTTTTACATTTATTTAAAGATGATGTGCATGCTTTTTAAAGTTAAATACTTCCGCATTTGCTAACATAGGGCCAGATTTACCAAATTAGCGTGAGAGCACAATCCCATGAAAGCACAGATGGGAGCGGAAAGTTCAGCAAGTGATTTACAGACGACGAGCAAATTAAGGATCACAGACTCAGCCGGATCATTTCCATAATGACCAACACAATCCACCAAGAGCAGCGCACTAGCGTATGGTTTAAGAAATGGGCGGTAAATAATGGTGCAAATACCAGTAAAGTGACGAGCGCAAACCTTAGTAAATCACCTTAATTTATGAATTTCATTATATGATTTATGAGCATGATTCATTTCAATTCTCTCATCACATCAATCTTGCGTCTGAAAGGGAAACTCCTACAAATGTCCACGACTTTCCAGCGCTCATTTTTCACTGCGTGTCTTTAGTAAATCCTGACAGTCGTTTTTTAACACCAAAAGAGGGTTTGCGCTGGAGCTGTTAGTAAATCTGGCCCTCAAAATAAAGAGAAACACAAGTCATTTATAGGTCATTTATATAAAAACTGGCTGTAAGAAAACGTTGCTCTGATTGTTTGAGCATCTCGCTCAGCCCGACACAGCAGCAAACTCAATACATTTCACCCGAGTTAGAGAGGGAAATCATCAGTCTTGTTGAACACACGGTTCAAACAGATGTTCACACCAATATCATATGTTTACATGAAACATGTGATTTACTATAAAAAGACAGACTTAAACCAGGCGATACTTCAGTTTATTCAAATTATGACCTATTCTACACTACAGTTCAAAAGTTAGAGTTCCATAAGATTGAAAAAATAAATAAATAAATAAATACTTTTATTCATCAAGGATACATTAAATTGACCAAAAGTGACCGCACAGACATTTATAATGTTACAAAAGATTTCAGCTTAAAATAAATGATGTTCTTTTGAACTTTAAAATTTTTTATCATGGTTTCCAAAGAATTATTAAGCAGCACAACTGTTTTCAACATTGATAACAATCATAAATGTTTCCTGAGCATCAAATCCTCATATTAGAGTGATTTCTGAAGGATCATGAGACACTGAAGACTGGAGTAATGATGCTGGAGATTCAGCTTTGATCACAGGAATAAATTACATCTTAAAATATACACATATAGAAAACAGTCAGTTTAACTTTATAATAACATTTCACAATATTGACTGTTTTTACTGTATTTTTGATCAAATAAATGCAGCCTTGGTGAATATGAGACTTCAAAAACATTAAAAAAATCCTTCCAACCCCAAAGTATTGAATGGTAGTGTATATGATTTCCACACTTACAGCGACAGAAATGAAATACTGTAGGATCAGGGTAGGTCTCAGATTCACTAATGATAAATAATAAGCACTGAGGCTGTTACCATACACTCACCGGCCACTTTATTAGGTACCCCATGCTAGTAACGGGTTGGACCCCCTTTTGCCTTCAGAACTGCCTCAATTCTTCGTGGCATAGATTCAACAAGGTGCTGGAAGCATTCCTCAGGGAGTTTGGTCCATATTGACATGATGGCATCACACAGTTGCCGCAGATTTGTCGGCTGCACATCCATGATGCGAATCTCCCGTTCCACCACATCCCAAAGATGCTCTATTGGGTTGAGATCTGGTGACTGTGGAGGCCATTTTAGTACAGTGAACTCATTGTCATGTTCAAGAAACCAATTTGAAATGATTAGAGCTTTGTGACATGGTGGAAGTAGCCATCAGAGGATGGGTACATGGTGGCCATAAAGGGATGGACATGGTCAGAAACAATGCTCAGGTAGGCCGTGGCATTTAAACGATGCCCAATTGGCACTAAGGGGCCTAAAGTGTGCCAGGAAAACATCCCCCACACCATTACACCACCACCACCAGCCTGCACAGTGGTAACAAGGCATGATGGTTCCATGTTCTCATTCTGTTTACGCCAAATTCTGACTCTAACATCTGAATGTCTCAACAGAAATCGAGACTCATCAGACCAGGCAACATTTTTCCAGTCTTCAACTGTCCAATTTTGGTGAGCTCTTGCAAATTGTAGCCTCTTTTTCCTATTTGTAGTGGAGATGAGTGGTACCCGGTGGAGTCTTCTGCTGTTGTAGCCCATCCGCCTCAAGGTTGTGCGTGTTGTGGCTTCACAAATGCTTTGCTGCATACCTCGGTTGTAACGAGTGGTTATTTCAGTCACTGTTGCCCTTCTATCAGCTCGAACCAGTCTGGCCATTCTCCTCTGACCTCTGGCATCAACAAGGCATTTCCGCCCACAGAACTGCCGCTCACTGGATGTTTTTTCTTTTTCGGACCATTCTCTGTAAACCCTAGAGATGGTTGTGCGTGAAAATCCCAGTAGATTAGCAGTTTCTGAAATACTCAGACCAGCCCTTCTGGCACCAACAATCATGCCACGTTCAAAGTCACTCAAATCACCTTTCTTCCCCATACTGATGCTCGGTTTGAACTGCAGGAGATTGTCTTGACCATATCTACATGCCTAAATGCACTGAGTTGCCGCCATGTGATTGGCTGCTTAGAAATTAAGTGTTAACGAGCAGTTGGACAGGTGTACCTAATAAAGTGGCCGGTGAGTGTATATTAATAAGACAAGAATGAACAAGCTCCAGTTCTTCTCTATATCAGTGTCAGTGTTTCTGAACTCCTGAAACGCCTCTACTGTAGTCTCGAGTTTCTTCCGGAACGAACACGTCACAATATTCCTCATTATAATAATTTGCTATTAAAACTACAACTAGTCCTTTTCTATGACCAATTAACTCTACCTAAAATAAACTGAAATTGAAAATCAAAATACAAAATGAAATGATTTTTTGAGTGGTTTTTTGTTTGTTTCTCAGCTGGCACTGCCGAGCTCCCGAACACAGTCCCGTGTGTGTGTCTCCGTCTCGAACCCAAAGCACACACTCAGAAGAGTGTCACACTTACTCTAGCGGCTCTCGGCTAATCTTCAGCTTCAAACCAAACTAATTAATGACCAAACAAGAGCAGATTCCAGCCCTGCTAATGTCCATCCCTCCTTCCACTCCAGTCGGAGAGATCCGCCTCGTCTCCGATAATCAGAGGATCGTTCAGACAATCCTGCCTATTATAGCGCCGGCAACGGGAGCCGAGCGCCACACGGTTGCCTAGCAACAGGGCGAAGGTGTACAGGTTAATTCTTTGAAAGCCAGGTGCCATCTGAGAGACGCGCGTCCCACATATGAGCCGTAACGAGGAGTGTGTGTATCGCTGATCTACACTAGGAAATCAGGGCTTTATTGATTTATGCTTTTTTTGTTTTGGGTTTGTTTTTCCTACTCAAATGGTGAAAGTGTGTGTGTGTGTGGCTGGACTGAAAACAGACTGAACACAGAAGACATTAGATGCACACTGCAGGGTCTGAAACCTCGGCAGTGACAGCTGAAGACACATGAGTGAGGAAACCTTAAAGTTGGCATGAAATAAAATGTCAATGCACTGTATCTATTTTCTAAATGCAAGTTGTGGATAGTAAAATGCTCCTATTATGTTATTTTAAAGGTTCCTAAATGTGTTTTGGAGTCTCCTACAACGGGTTCACATGCATCCAAGGCCAAAAAAAACTTTCATTTTCTCATAATATACATTCACCTCATTTCACCCCAGTCTGTTGTGATTGGTCTACTCTGCTCTGATTGGTCAGATGGCCCAGTCTGTTGTGATTGGTCTACTCTGCTCTGATTGGTCAGATGGCCCAGTCTGTTGTGATTGGTCTACTCTGCTCTGATTGGTCAGATGGCCCAGTCTGTTGTGATTGGTCTACTCTGCTCTGATTGGTCAGATGGCCCAGTCTGTTGTGATTGGTCTACTCTGCTCTGATTGGTCAGATGGCCCAGTCTGTTGTGATTGGTCTACTCTGCTCTGATTGGTCAGATGGCCCAGTCTGCTGTGATTGGTCTACTCTGCTCTGATTGGTCAGATGGCCCAGTCTGTTTTGATTGGTCTACTCTGCTCTGATTGGTCAGATGACCCAGTCTGTTATGATTGGTCTACTCTCCTCTGATTGGTCAGATGGCCCAGTCTGCTGTGATTGGTCTACTCTGCTCTGATTGGTCAGATGGCCCAGTCTGTTTTGATTGGTCTACTCTGCTCTGATTGGTCAGATGGCCCAGTCTGCTGTGATTGGTCTACTCTGCTCTGATTGGTCAGATGGTCCAGTCTGTAGTGATTGGTCAACTCTGCTCTGATTGGTCAGATGGCCCAGTCTGTTGTGATTGGTCTACTCTGCTCTGATTGGTCAGATGGCCCAGTCTGTAGTGATTGGTCAACTCTGCTCTGATTGGTCAGATGGCCCAGTCTGTTGTGATTGGTCTACTCTGCTCTGATTGGTCAGATGGCCCAGTCTGCTGTGATTGGTCTACTCTGCTCTGATTGGTCAGATGACCCAGTCTGTTGTGATTGATCTACTCTGCTCTGATTGGTCAGATGGCCCAGTCTGCTGTGATTGGTCTACTCTGCTCTGATTGGTCAGATGGCCCAGTCTGTAGTGATTGGTCAACTCTGCTCTGATTGGTCAGATGGCCCAGTCTGTTGTGATTGATCTACTCTGCTCTGATTGGTCAGATGGCCCAGTCTGTTGTGATTGATCTACTCTGCTCTGATTGGTCAGATGGCCCAGTCTGTTGTGATTGGTCTACTCTGCTGTGATTGGTCAGATGGCCCAGTCTGTAGTGATTGGTCAACTCTGCTCTGATTGGTCAGATGGCCCAGTCTGCTGTGATTGGTCTACTCTGCTCTGATTGGTCAGATGGCTCAGTCTGTTGTGTTTGGTCTACTCTGCTCTGATTGGTCAGATGGCCCA